ACATTTCTTAATGCTTTTCCATTCCTTCCTTTATCCAAATTTACATTTTGATGGCCCTTCTTTCTGGGAGAATGATTCTGTCTCAATAAGTTGTATGTCTAAACTTGAGTTAACACCATGATAATTTAATTTTTGTTGCCTTATAATTTGTTTTAAAATTATGTAAAACAAGTCTTCTTTAATTATACTTCTCTGTTAGCATAATCTTTTATTCTTTTTTATTCTCACATGTTTATTCTTCCAGTTGAAATTTAAAGTAATGGTATGGACTGAATGTTTGTATTCCCCCAAAATTCATGTGTTGAAACCCTAGCCCCATAATGTGATGGTATTAGGAGGTGGGATGTTTGGGAGGTAATTAGGATGAAAAGAGATCATGAAGGTGGAGCCCTCGTGAATGGGATTAATGTTCTTGTAAGAATCCTGAGACAGCTTGCCTCCTCTCTTCGCCCTGTGAGGACAACTGTCTATGAACCAGGAAGCAGGTCCTCACCAGACACTGTGTTTGCCAGTGCCTGACCTTGGACTTCCCAGCCTCCAGAACAGTGAGAAATAAATGTCTGTTGTTGAAGCCACCCAGCTTATGGTATTTTGTTATAGCACTCAGAACTAAAACAAGTAATTTTGTCAATTAAAAAAAAAACTGGCCAGGCATGGTGGCATGAGCCTGTATGTAGTCCCAGCTACTTGGGAGCCTGAGACAGGAGGATCGTTTGAGCCCGGGAGTTCGAGGCTGCAGTGAGCTATGATCAGGCCACTGCCTTCTAGTCTGGGTGATATAGTGAGACCCTGTCTCCAAAAAAGAAAAAAATCAGTTTAAGATTTAGATTAATCATTGTAATCTACAGATTAATTTTGAGATAATTTAAATTATTTCAGTATTTAATCTTACCAGCTAGGAACGTGATATTATCTCTCTATATAATCAAACATTAATTTAAATCTACCAATAAAGTTACATTTTAAAAATTTATTAAAGGAATAAAGGAAATTTAGAAAATGATACAGTCATCCATATTTCTTTGTTCTTATGCTGCCACAAATATTCCTTTTATTTACTCTATACCAATCTCTTAAAAAATTATCTACTTCGATAGAATTTAGAATTATAATATACAAATAATTTTGCGTCCAGATAATCACGAGCATTTCCATATTGCTGCAGAGCCATTTATGATGACTTGTTTGTCTGTAGAGTGGAGGTACCGTAATCTATTAACCTCTTCACCTGTGGTAGGGCATCAGGTTTACTTGCCAACACAAGTAGCACAGCTCTATGGATTTCACTTTTCTTTTGGAAAGGTTCCCAGAAGAGGGAATAGGAGGTTGAATATTGTGAACATCTTCCTAGCTCTTGATACATAAGCCAAATTACTTTCTACGAGTCGTGTGTCAATGTGCAGAGCCACTAGTAGTATACGGGCTGGCTGCTTCTTCATCCTGTCACCAGCATTGGGTATTAGGTTTCACATTTTCCCCCAATGAAAAACAACCACACTGAACATCTCTCATTATTGTCTTAATTTCCATCCCTTCGATTATATCAAAAGTGAATATTTTTCCATGTATAGTGAATTATTGCTTGAAAGTGTTTGCCCCTGTAGATATAGGGTTCTTGATTTTCAAGTGAGTTTGCATGTACTGTTTATGTGATATTTATAAGCCTTCTGTCTCCAATGTTGGCAAGTAAAGGTTTCTTCCTAGTCTGTTTTCATTTTGGCTGGTTTTGCCCCCTGTTTATTTATTTAGATTATTTTTATTTGTTATATTTGCATTGTTTTTAATACCAAATGTAAAGCACTCGAAGTGACAGTATCAAAAGACACATTCATAAAAAGTGAAGGCCCGAACTTCTCTCTCCTGTTGTGGTTTTCACAAATGGAAGGCCTTTTTCCCACTCAAATAAATCAAACCTGATGATCTTTTTCTTTACTTCTCATGTCGTATGCTTGGAAAATGAATCTCCATGCTTACAATTTGAAAATAATTTGTTTTCTTCTAATTTTTCCATAAGTCAACTTTTGAAAATCGGCTGTTTTATCCACAGAATCAAATAGCGATCAATGTGTATGTTTTCCCTTCAAAATTACTAACTGGCTGTCTCAGCACTTCTTATTGAATACACCTTTGCTTCGTGGCACACCTTGTTAAATACTTAAATGTATTGGGTTCTGCTTCTTAAGGGACTGTTCTGTAATAATGAACTATTTCATACGGGGGATCCTGCTGTTTCCTGCCCAGCTGAGACTGGTGAGTGAGGGTAGCCAGTCTAATAAGACATGGTTCCTGTTAGCTGTGTGTCCTCGGGCAAGTTGCTTAAGTTTTCTGATCTTCAGCGTTTCTGTTTGTAAGATGACGATGCTGATAAGAATACCAACCCGTATACTTCCTAGGTTGATGTGTGGATTAAATGAGATATCAGGGAATCTTAGGTGTTGTTGCTAGAAGGGACCTTGGCAAACATCACTTGCCAGATGAAGAGTAGCAGAGAAGGGAAATGACTTGCTCAAGGCCACACAGTGAGTTCCCGACAGCAGGGTCTCACACTTGGGTCTTCAGCCCCCACCCACCTTGAGGATCAGTTTTGGGCTCCAGGAATTCAGGCTTTGGGACTGTAACTATCCCAAACCCATGTTGTCCAAGAAGCTAGAAAAAGCCAAAGCCAGAAGCACTATACCCCTCCCTGCTCCCAGCCCCCAGCACCGACTGCAGCGGGGCAGTTCTGGGAGGTCATATCAGCTGATCCCGTGTGTTTCCCCCACAGCAGGGCGCCTCTCCTCTGCACCTTGCTGTGAGGCACAACTTCCCTGCCTTGGTCCAGCTCTTCATCAACGCCCACAGTGACTTGGATGCCACCGACAATGTAAGTGGCTGCGGAAACCATCTGGGCCCCGGGGCACCTCTGGGCACCCTCCCAGGCTGGCGGGGCTTGGCTGTGGTCTCCTAGCATGGCCCAGAGTCAAGGAGAAGCTTTTTTAGTTTTCACACAATTTGTTAGAATATTTGTTGAAGGTAACATCACTTTATTAACTTTATTCAAATACATGTTCGCTTTATTTTGAACATTTTGGTTGTTCCCAAGGTTTTGCCATGATATATATAACACTGCAGTGAACATTTTCCTAAATTCAACCTTTTCTTTTCATTGCTTTTTTCCCTTAGGGAAAATTCCCAGGGCAGGGGTGACTGGGGTAGTCTTGTGTAGTAAGAGTGCTGTGAGTGCTGACACCAGGATCAGTAAGGAGCCCTTTAAATCCCATTTCCACAGTCCACCCCCAACCACGTAATACCCAGGGCTGGCAAGGGCATGGCACTTAGAACCACTGGGAGTGGAAGGCAATTTGGCAGAATATATCATATATCTTTAAATTGATCTGCAGTTGCACGTCTGGGAACTGAGCCTCGAGGAATACTGATGTGTTCCGCTCACGCCTGTAATCCCGGCACTTTGAGAGGCCGAGGCAGGAGGATTGCTTGACGCCAGGAGTTTGAGACCAGCCTGGGTAACCTAGTGAGACCTACAAAAATAAAAAATAAATTAGCTGGGCGTGGTGGTACATGCCTGTTGTCCCAGCTACTTGGGAGGCTAAGGTGGGAGGATCACTTGAGCCCAGGGGCTCAAGCTGCAGTGAGCTGTCATCGTGTCACTGCACTCCAGCCTGGGCGACAGAGTGAGACTGTCTCTAAAAAAAGAAAGAAACATAGTATTAATAAAAGCTTACGCACAAAGATATTCATTACAGCATTATCAGTCCTCAATTTGATAATGACCCAAATACAATAACAGGGAAGTGGTTTGGTAAATTATGGCCCGGACATAAATAGGCTATTATGGACTTATTAAAAATGGTGTTTATCAGAGTTTATCCTATGTGAAAAGTATTATATTAGGTAGAAAAACAAGATGAAAAATATATATACAGGAATGATCTGAAATATGTAAAGTCAACACAGTAATACCATTCTGCACTTGAGAAAAGACTAGAAGAAATATCTTAGGATCATAATGAGGGTTGATTTAGGGTGGTCTGCTGGGGAAGTTATTTTTTTCCTTCTTTGCACTTTTGTTTTTATGAAGTTTTCTCTGGCGAGGACTGTGTTTATGACTGAACCCTGGCTTTGAGCTGTGAGCCACCCCTACATGCTTTTCTGCTCACCTGTCCCTTGGCTTCTTCCCTAGAGGCAGCAGACGCCCCTTCACCTGGCCGCCGAGCATGCCTGGCAGGACATAGCAGAGATGCTCCTTGTCGCTGGAGTTGACTTAACCCTGACAGATAAGGTACCTCTGCTCGTAACCAACCTCCCTTTCAGGCCATCATGGCGCTCTCATTGCCAGAGACCCTGCCATGAATGCCTCCTCCCAGCTCCTTCTCAGGGTGTTCAGGGACTCTCATCCTTTATATACTAGCTCACATGCAGCTTTCTCCAGGAAGCCTTCCTGCCCTTCCACCACCTTCCCCTCTCTCTACTGAGGTCCCTCAGCCGTGGCCCGCCCCTCCCCTGGCCTAGGCCTGTGATTTGGTTGCTTTACATTTCATGGCCCCCATCAGACTGTTAGCTTCTCGAGTCACCTGGGGGGTGGGGAGAGTAGAAGAGGAGGACCACGTTATCACTCAACCACCCCCTACGTGGGACAGGGTTTGGGAAGCTTCCCAGCTCATTGGCCCCTGGGGCAGCTACTTCCTCAGGTGCTAGAGGTCTGAGAGGAGCTGAAGACTTGGTGTGAGGCTGGGGCCATAGGCTCACGAGGGAGGGGCACTTGCACATGGGACTCAGCGAGCCTGGGATGGTCGGGGGGTGGAGTTGGGGGCCAGGATCAGGCCCTGAGGCTGGACCTGGGAGGGGCTTCCTGATTTGAGCCGGGCCCCAGGGCAGCTGGCTAGCTGCGAAAAGGAGCTTCCTGTCTCGCTGCAGGTCCCTGGAAGTGACCATCTGGGGGGCCTGGAACAAAGGGCCTGGCGGCTTAGGGGGAGGCAGGCAATGGGGACATGGTGAGCCCACGCCCCCTTCTCTGGGCTCTAGTTTCTTCCCAAAATTGGGGCGGTCACCTCTGTCTCATGGGTGTTGTTGAAGAGTTAATGAGGGCTGAGTTTCACAAGCTTTTAAAGCTTTCCGAGTTCTCAAGGAACACAGAGGTGGTTGTTAGAATTAGGTATTATTTCCTCCTTCTACCTGGGACTTTTCCACATCCCCGTCACGCCCAGAAAACCAGAAGACCTTTCTGCTCTCCTGTGCAGACTGCTGGAAACCACTTCCTTTGGGCAGGAGGGTTTGTACTCAGTGCTGGGGGCCATGCTGTACCCCTCCTATAGAAACTCTGGCTTCATTTCTTGCCTCTTAATTGCAGCAGGGAAAGACCGCGCTGGCCGTGGCTGCCCGCAGCAACCACGTCACCCTGGTGGACATGATCATAAAAGCTGATCGTTTCTACAGATGGCAGAAGGTATGGAGGCCCCATGCTTGGTCTCTCCATGTTAGAAAGGGAGAAGCCTTGGCTTCAGGTGGAGCTGGCTTTGAATCCCAGCCCTGAGCATTTCTGGGGCCTCTCAGTTTCCAGTGGGTGATAATCCCCACCTTGCATACCGCCAGGGTTGTTCACGAGGATCTGGAGGTGGGCAAGCGTCCAAACACACTGAAACAAGGCAGACTGAGGTCCGTGCCCGTGTGGTGGTGCTACTGGACACTGCTGTGGCTCCGGCTGCTGAGTGCATGGATGCATGGATGCATGCGTGCATGCATACATACATGCATGTGTGAATAAAGAGACGGCAGTTGGTCCCATCTCACTGCCACCTCCAGGTGATTGGAACTGTTGCTTGGGGTGTTGCGTTCAGACAGCTTTCTGAGCCCAGAGGAAGGTGTGTTGGGATTGATTGGCCACGTCTGCTGTGGACTTAGGAGAGGAGAGCGGCAGGCAGCGGACAGGCCATGCATTTGCTGTTCCGGTCAGCAAATGGTCGGGGGGGAGTTTCTTGGCGTCCTTGAGAGTTGTTTTTATACACAGAAAAGAATTTTTACATTTAATTCAGTTTTCAGAATTAATGCAGGTGGTCCCCGACTTACGATGGTTCGACTTGCAATTTTCCTGCTTTACTGACACACGTTCAGTAGAAGCCATGCTTTTGAGTACCCACACAGCCACGCTGCTTCTCACTTTCCGTGTAGTATTCGATGAGCTACGTGAGATATGCAACATTTTATTATGAAACGGGCTTTGTGTTTGTTGTCCAAAACACCACCAGGATGGCCAAATAGTAGAAAGGAGACTGGCAATATTGGTTTACAACTAGAAGAGACAGTCTCCAGCGTGTGCCGAAGGTGCTCCCTCTTCAAGCAGGGGAGGGGCAGTTTGGGGTTTTATGCCTCACAGGGCCCGTGTTACACAATACAGTCATACATATTCAGCAGGTTTGGGGGGAAGTTATGCATATTTATGAGGGGAGCCAAGCACATGTGTAACGTGTAAACATGCATGTAACATAACATACATCCCATGTTCACCTTGGGGCAGGATTTCAGCATGAAAATGAGGTGGAATTTGGCTCTTTATGTCGCAAGGTAAACTGCAGGAAGCAAGGACAGTTTGTGCCCAGCGCCCATAAGCTGGCTGGAACAGGCTTAAGGTCTGCCGTTGCTTATCAGAAAAGAATGGTTGCAAGGTTGGTTCTCTGTGCAATCTAAGTTGTACTGGTATAGGTTGCCTGATAGCTCCTATTACTATGGAATTTGGCAAGTGTGGTTTTTCTTGAAGCTGTAGGAATTTAGAAATTTGCCATGCCAGCCAGACCCTAAACCCTAGACCCATAGGTAACTTTGTTTCCTTAACCTTAGGGTCTCTCTTAGTTGATATAAGGACGTCTATTTTGGTCTCTCAGACCACATATTAGATCTTGCCAAACTGTAGGCTAACGTAAGTGTGTAAGGTAGGCTAGGCTAAGCTATGATGTTCTGTAGGTTAGGTGTATTAAATGCATTTTCAATTTATGATATTTTTAACTTACAATGTATTTATCAGGATGTAACCCCATATAAGTCAAAGAGCATCTGTATTAAATTTGTTACATATTTAAAAACCTAGTTTTTCTTAAACTTTTAAATTCATTTTTAATTATTTTATTTACACAACTAGCAAATTGTAATAATCACTTTCAAGGAAGCCTTCTGATTAATGTTTGGTCCCATGTTTAAACTTAATTAAACCACCTTACACATTTCAAACTAAATGAATAAATTTAATATAATAGATTTTCTTTTCTTTTTAAGCACTTCAAATACTTCCTAAATTCTTAAATTATCCTAATAAATCCATTAAATTAAACCTATATGTAATCTCAAATATCGTAAACATCCCAGTTTGGTTTACAGACTTAGTAAACTTCTCTTACATGTCTTAAATAAAAATCACTGTTTCAAAATTGATTGATCAATAAATTTCAATAGGACTGTTCCTCTCTGGATCAATCAGTCCGCTCTTCTCTTTGCTTTCAATAAACCTCTCTGTAAAAAAATAAATAAAAAATAAATAAATTTCAATAGGAATCATAAGATGTGCTTTTTTGCTGATATGCTAGATACTTAAATGTTACAACCCCTTTACATATGACAGATTACTCTGAAATATAATACCAAAATATTAATACTGGGTGTTTGACCCACTGACTCATCTTTGTGCTAAATACTAAACCACTTCAGGCTTTATAGGTCGTCACCGCTAAGGCAGTGGCTGGATGTTAGAATCACAAATCCCCTTTCTGTGCCCCAGACCAATTCAATCAGAATCTCTGAGATGGGGCCAGGCATTGGTAGTTCTTAAAGCTCCCAGATCATCCCCATGTATAAACGGGGCTGAGAACATTGCTCTAAGGGAACAGTTTTTAACACCCCAGATGAGAGCCAAGCTTTACCTTGCAGGTGGAGAGATTTATCAGGAAGTAAGATTTGGAGCTGCAGATGCCAGGGTGATTTTTTTCACCTTAACAATCAGAACTCCACATCCATTCCCTTTAGAGGGGCTTAAGCTTTTGTGGACTTAATTTACGCTATTACATAATTCTTTTGTACCCTCTAATTTTAGTGCCTGCTTCGCATAGAAAGGATTCTGTAACCCCATCCTTTACTACTCATTGGAATTCCGCAAGCTTGATTCTTGGCCTGTCTGATTTTGGCCAAGGCTTCGAAGTTATTCTGCTGACACCCATGCTATCAGAACACAGAGAAAAGACAGGCAGAAAAGACCAGAGGAATTTGGAAAGGCTACCTGGAAGACATGGCACATGTGTGGTCTTTTGATTATGACAGTGGGGTTGAGGGGCTGGGAGGCGAGACAAGGCATTCCAGGTGGAAGAACAGTGGGAGCAACGTGGGTTCCAGAAACCAGAACAGTGGACATTAGGCCCCAGGTCCATGCCTACTCCAGTTCCTAGGCTCCCCAGCGGTGGGAGTGGGGTACTAGGGGCCTCGGCCCTGCATTGCCCGTCCGGGATCGTGAGGGAGAGCGCCTGCACTTCTGGGATCTGCCCCACAGGACCACCTCTCATGCAGGGACTCCAGTGACCCCTCTGGGAAGAGCTTGACCTTTAAGCAGGACCATCGGCAGGAAACACAGCAGGTCCGCTCCCTGCTGTGGCAGCTGGCCTCCAGGCGTCTGCGGCCCCATGAGTGGAAGAAGCTCGCATATTCCTGGGGGTTCACTGAGGCCCACGTCTACGCCATCGAGCAACAGTGGACAGGTACCACCTTGCCTCTCCCCACCCCAGGGCAGCAGAGGGCAGAGGGGTGGGGGCGCTTGGGGTGTGTTCAGTTTTCTATGCTTCTGGGAAAGAGCCCGTGCAACCCACGCGCAGCCACACACACTGTGTGCTCTGTCCCTCGTCCAGGCCTTCGCACAGGCTGGAGGCACTGCCTCACCCAGCCTTGCCCTGTGAATTTTATATTCTTCCACGAATCCGCCTGAACCCATCCTTCATTTACACACTAAACTAAAACCATTCCTGGTAAGAAGAGAGGGCCCCCTGTCGTCACTATTATTTAGCATCTATTTGGACATTTTGGCTCTGGCACTAGGCATGAAAAAAATGGAAATAATGAGTGTAAATATTGGAAGAGAAGAGAGAATTATTAATTTGAGATGCTGTAATTGTATACATAGGAAGTCCAGAGGAATCAACTGAAAAGCTCTTAGAATTAATAAAATAATTCAATGAACTGGCCAGATACATGATAAAATATACAGAC